GGTGACCGAGACAGATTGGGGATTCTGTTGGTGTACCATGCACCCTTCTGCCCAACAGTCTCCCTGCCTGAGCTGACGGAGACTGTCTCGGACCTGGTGTTGAGGACACCCAGGATGTTGGTCCTGGGGGACTTCAATCTCCATGCCGAGTCTGGTCTGACCGGGGCGGCTCAGGACTTCATGGCCTCCATGACGGCCATGGGGCTGTCTCAACATGTCACAGGTCCGACCCATGAACGTGGACACACTCTGGACCTGGTTTTCTCGACGGGGCAGGAAGAGGGTGGTCTGAGGGTGAGGAATTTATGTCTGACACCCCTGTCATCATCAGATCATTTCCTCGTGAGGTTTGTGCTCGAGAGTGGCCTCTCCCTCTGTAAGGGTGTGGACCCGATTATGTGGGTCCGCCCCCGGAGCTGGATGGATCAGGACGGATTCCTGAAGGCCCTGGGGGAGTTTCCAGTTGACAAGAATGGTGCTTCTGTCAAGGCTCTGGTCGAACTATGGAATGGGGAGATGACTAGGGCTGTTGACACAATCGCTCCTAAGCGTCCTCTCCCGCCAGGCAGAGCCCACTCTTCCCCTTGGTATACATCTGAATTGCAGGCGATGAAGCAGGCCAGGAGATGGCTAGAGCATAGGTGGAGGAGATCACGGGATGAATCTGACTGAACACACTCAAGAGCCCATTATCAGGCCTATGCTGAGGCAGTGAGGGTGGCGAAAAAGAAATTCTCCGTTTCCATTGCCTCCTCAAAATGCCGTCCGGTGGAGCTTTTTCATGTGGTACAAGGGCTGGTCCATCCTGGCCCTAAGAAAGATCTGGTTTCACCCTCGAAGGCCCGCTGTGACAACTTTGCCAAGCATTTCAGGGAGAAAATCGTTCAGATTTGTCACAAGCTAGACTCTACTAGTGATTCAGAGGCTTCTGGGGAGATACCAATGTCGCCGTCTGGTCCAAAATTAATGGATGAATTTCAGTTATTGCGGCCTGATGATGTGGACAAGGTGCTTGGACAAGTACATCCCACCACGTGCCTATTGGACCCTTGCCCATCTTGGTTAATTAACAACGTCAAGCACAGGACTGGGACCTGGATCTTGGAAGTGGTTAACGCTTCTCTGAGGGAAGGTTGGGTACCTGCCCCTTTAAAGGAGGCGGTAGTCCGACCGGTCCCAAAGAAAGCATCACTGGATCCAGAGATGGCCACTAATTATACACCAGCGGCCAACATCCCGTTTCTGGGCAAGGTGTTGGAGCGGGTGGTGGCAGGACAACTCCAAGCACTCTTGGATGAAACTGATTATCTGGACCCATTTCAGTCCGGCTTCAGACCCGGGTATGGTACTGAATCTGCCTTGGTTGCCCTGTATGATGACCTGTGCAGGGAGAAGGACAGGGGGAGTGTGTCCCTGTTGGTTCTTCTGGACCTCTCAGCGGCTTCCGATACCATTGACCATGGTATCCTTCCGGATAGGCTAGTTGGATTGGGGGTCGGAGGCACTGCTTTGCAGTGGTTCTGCTCCTATCTCAATGGCCAATTCCAGAAGGTGGTGCTGGGGGACTATGGCTCTGCGCCATGGCAGCTATGCCATGGAGTACCGCAGGTGTCCATGTTGTCCCCTTTGCTGTTTAACATCTACATGAAACCGCTGGGAGAAGTCATCAGGAGGTGTGGGCTGCGGAATCATCAGTACGCTGATGATACCCAGCTCTACCTCTTGTTCTCTACCAATCCAGGTGAGGCAGTGGCTGTGCTGAACTGGTGCCTGGCCGAGGTAATGGGCTGGATGAGGGCCAATAAACTGAAGCTCAATCCAGACAAGACGGAGGTCCTGTTGGTTGGTGGATCGGGCTTCGGGGAAGGTGAATTGAACCTAGTCCTGAATGGGGTTGCACTCCCTCTTAGGGACAAGGTCCACAGCTTGGGAGTGCTCCTCAACCCAGAACTTTCACTGGAAGCTCAGGTGACAGCGGTGGCGAGGAGCGCTTTCTTTCAGCTTCAGCTGATCCATCAGCTGCGGCCCTACCTGGAGAACGACTGCCTGGCAACAGTGACACATGCGTTGGTGACTTCTCGACTTGACTTCTGTAACGTGCTCTACATGGGACTGCCCTTGAAGATGGTCCGGATACTTCAATTGGTTCAAAATAGAGCTGCCAGGCTGCTGACAGGGACTGGGCGTTATGTTCACATGACTCCAGTCCTCCGTCAGCTTCACTGGCTTCCCATTGAAGTCCGGGCCCAATTCAAGGTGTTGGTTATGACCTATAAAGCCCTTAACGGCTTGGGTCCTGGTTACCTGAAGGAGTGCTTATGTCCATATATGCCTGCCCGCCCCTTGAGATCAGCGGGAGAGGCCCTTCTCTGGGAACCCTCCGGAAATTAGGAGGGTAAGTACTCGGAGGAGGGCTTTCTCTGCGGTGGCGCCCCACCTATGGAATGCGCTCCCCAGAGAGATCCACCTGGCGCTGTCGTTATTTGTTTTTCGGCGCCAGGTGAAGACCTTTTTATTCAAACATTATTTTAATTGTGAATATTATTTATTTATTTTATTCTTTGGCCAGGGTGACTTAATTTATACTGTTAAATTATATTGTTTTATATTATGTTATTTATTTATTTATGATTGTGAGCCGTCCCAAGGCTTTGGTGAATGGGGCGGCATAGAAGTTTCCTAAATAAATAAATAAGGTACAGGAAAAGTTAAGAAGTCTTGATATGTCAGCATCACAAATGAATGAATGTCTGCTTTCAGTTCAGTGTACTTTAAATATTTAGGATATATGAAAGCAAACTTAGTGACTCTTGTGGTGAGCTACACCAATATTCATATTACTGACTTCTGCAATCAGAGTAATTGTGCCTAATCTTACATATAAAGAGTTATTCACTTCCATGATGCTGTGATGCTTCTGTTACTCTGAAGCAGCAAGCAGTCATCCTCTTCAAAATGGGGAGCTGGAATCCAATGGGTCCTAGAGTATTGGAACATCTGACACCCAATTTCTCATGGGTCTATGAAACAGCTGTTCACAGCTGAGGTGATAGTCACTGCACATATATTTCACCATCTCAAAAATAAATGTATGGTTGGGCCTTCAGTATCTGTTCTCTCATACCAAACCTGACCAATACTTGATGTCACAAGTACACTCCTGCTTTTTGTTTTTTATATGGAGTGTCTTCAACTTTCTCTATATCTCCCTCTCTTTCTTTTGGTATGTAAGACTGCCACCAGGAATTTTATTCTAATTCTGTTAATTAATCTTTCCCTCAGTATTGTGCCCAAGTTATAAGGCTCCTTCACTGGCCTATGGTCCTGAAGATGAGACTGCTATTCAAGCTTATGCCTCTGAGTTAACAATAAACAAACTACAACTTTATTTGTTCAGTAAGCATATTTGTTTCAAGATGTTCAGTAACTTATGTCTTTAATGAATGAAACAATGTATAATAACAAGTTCTGACTCTTTTCCTTTCACACTCCTCACACACAGATCCTCCTTTCTCTTCTGCGTTCAGGTTTCAGTCAGCTTTTCTCTCATACATCCTTATAATACTTGACAATATTAAGTTTTGACTCTCCTTAGTCACAAACATGCCTTCCAAGTACTGTATTTCCTTTGTTCTTTTGAATCTGAAATGTCTCCCATACCACATCGGAAAGAACAAAAAGTGTAGATAAGCTCTACTTTTCATATTCCTGTGCTACAATATCAAGTTAGAGCAGCAACTAAGAATAACTTCAGATACCTTTCCCCCTATTTATGAGGTACTTCTTTTTTAAAAGGTATGTGAGCATGAATGTATCAGTGACTATTTCTATTTTGTATAGTTCTCACCACAAAATTCCTAAAAGAAATAAGCTAACAATGAAAGAACAGCAGTGTGTGAACCCGTGTCAAAAGTTCTTCTCATAAAATCAGATAAAATAACATAAACAGAGAAAGGAGTTCAGGATAGCACACATTTCTTCCTTCCATTTGATCCTTACAATTTTGTGAGGTAGGTTAGGCTCAAATAAATTAGAGAGGTTAAATTTATCTCTCCTCAACCTTTCTTCTAACATCATTTTTACCTTAGTTGGTTTACAAATAACTGAAGCGACCCTGTCTGGGGGGAAAAGCTTCTGTGAAAAGCTTATGGCCAGCAAGCAGGGGACCAGGGCATCTGTGCTTCACTTTTCTTCATCCTTTTGCGCAACAGATCATAAACACACCCCACAGCCTCTGCTTTAAACATAGGGCTGACCCAGGTTTTAAGACCTGCTGCTGTTAGATGGAATTTTGGCTCACTTTCTAGTGTTGAAGGGGGAAAGTGTAGGCAGAGCTGCCAAATCTGAGGGGAGAAAGAAACCTTGCTGGCTTCCAAAACTGTATTTTCAGCTGGGGCACACAGAGAAAAATATTTCTGAAGATGGCAAATGCTACAATACCACCCACTTTTATGTAAGATGTCCTGGTTGATATTTCAGGGTACTGCCTGACAGATCAAGGTATATAGCTTAGTGGTGCTTAGAGGGAAGGTATTGTGTCATAAAAACCTAGTAAGTGCCATGCTGGATCAGACCAAAGGCCTATCTAATCTAGTCTCCTATAATGGCAGAATATATGTATTTACAGTATTCTGTATATCTACTCTTGCCTCCTAAGTACACTTTCTGGGTGAATAAAGTTGTTAAAATACAAGTTTATCCGCCTCCCCTCCCCCCGCAACACACACACACACACACACACACACACACAGAGAGAGAGAGAGAGAGAGAGAGAGAGAGAGAGAGAGAGAGAGAGAGAATTACAGTAAAGCACTCATCTTAGACTAACTGATACATTTAAAACACTGACAGGTCTTAACACTTCAAAAACCTCAAAATCCATTAAAAAGTCTCTCAAAGTCTCCAACTAAGGCCTTTCCTTGGCATAGAAAACAATGCAAAGTAAGCTTTCCAGAAAGACCATTCTGATGCCCTGGGAAGCCCAAAAAGCAGGAGAAGCAGCAGCTTTCTCCCATTGTTTTTCCCAGTTTAGTAATTCAAAGTACTGCCTCTCTAACCTAGAGATAGCAGATGTGATGATTAAATACTAAGGGTGCAAGCCTATGCATGTTTATACATTAAAAATTCTTACTACTAGCATTGCAACCAAAATGGCTTTCTGGAGAGCGATGGGATTTCTAGGGCTTTCTTTTCTTAAAGCAGAGGACGAACTGTGGTGAAAACCTAATGGCGTCTCAAGATTTGAGCTCCCGCCGCCGAATAAACCAAGAAGGAAGGAAGAATCTTGAAACCTAGGTTCAAGTCTTGCCTTCAGGCACTCCTAAACTCTATTTAACCTGACTCCCAGTTAAGGATAAGTTCCTGTATCACCACTCAGTCCTACATAACCTCGCGTACCAACCACACAGAGGCTGCAGCAGGTGAAAGACTGAGAGTTTAAATCAATTTCAGCACATTCAGGCAGTCATAGGGAGACTGCAAAAGCTGCGGTCTGAGAGGAGCGGTGCTTACACCAACACCAAACAAGCCCTTTCATTTTGGGATTCTGATTGGTTCGCAGCCTTGCTAATCAACCTAAGAGGGCTGGTGCAACAATTCTGAAACCCAAGCAATAGGAGGAGTTAAAGAGGGAAGAAAGTGAACGTGGCTTTCTTTAGAAACCCCGAAGTTCTCCGCATGCAAAAGCGAAGTGCACTCTTAAGAACAGGAACGAGTTACAGACAAGTGTAGTCATGTGCCAGGTTGTTGTGTTATGCAACACATGGCTTAGACCATGTATTTGTTGCCTTCTGTCTGCACCTATGAGCATAAATATGAGTTTGACCTGTAAGATCTGCCAATCACAAGTTTCCAGTTTGTAGGAGCTAACAGTTTAAAACACTCATGCTTCTGAAGGGGTATAAAGTAAAAGTTGGCATTGGCCTTTAAAATTCTTGAAATGTAAAAGGCAATGTTCAAAGAAATGTGACTTTTGTTAGAAAGCATTTTATGTATGTTCAAACTTTATATTCCAACTCAAAAAAAAGTAGGGCAGTAAAAATAAGAATTGAGAATTGAATCTACCACTAAAAATAACAATGAGTGCTTAGAATTACAATGGTTAGGGTAACCATCCTTTAAAAAGGCTAATCGTCTTGTCCATTGTTGGGCCTCAGATTATAGCAGCTTGAGAGATGGGGAGATTCATATAGGTCCATATGAGACACATGCCACACTTTTATATGTGCATGTCCACATATAGGAGGCACATATATCTCACTGCTGCCTTTGCGTTTCTAGTGGAGACCCAGGCCAGCATCAAGATGTTTTGCTGTCTGATGGGAAAACACAAATCCCATTGATCTCCAACCAAGATGGATAATTTGGCATCTGAGGCAGAAAACTTCACAAGCACTTCACCCTCACCCTTGCACTGAAAATACAGTACTGAATAACTATTGCATTTTCATGACATCCAGAATCAGTTTCCTGAGACTACTGTGTCACTCTGCCTTATACTGTGCCTTTGGTGTTGGACCATCCTGAGACTTCTATGAATAGGACGGTACAAAAGTTTTAAATAAGTAAATAGTAAGATTGTCTCTGTGGAAACTTCAGGCAATACTTGATTCCTGGAACCATTTAACTAATCCTCTGCCCAGAGTTTCTTCTGGGCTGTGATTTTTAAGTGTTGAAGGTATGCTGTACATGCTTAAGGGAATCTTCAATTATACCATGGGCACCTTGACATTGGAATCTGTTGATTGTTGGTGGTTTTGGTACAGAATAGGCCTGAGGTAGAGTCTGTAAACTTGCTATTATGTTGAATTAGAATGTGCACATTTTAGTCAACATTTCTCTCAGTAACCCATGTCAGAAATGCAGAAGTACAGAAATGGCCCTACCTTCCAATTAGAATTATTACATGTAGTCTTGTTCTCAGTAGAGGACTCATAGTTGTAGCTTCAGACATTTCTCAATGCACCTTCCCAAAATATGCAAAAGGACATGTAATCTTGTATACCACAAGTCTTCCTAGACTTCTACCTTCTTCTTTGGTACCAAGTTTAAGAAATCTAGGCAAAAGGAATTTGTGCCAGATGGGCTGGAAGAAATTTCTAATTCTTGGGATTTCTCACCATGACCAAAAGTGCCTTGCCTGGTCAAGGAATACCAAAAGTTGTCAGGTGCAGTTTTTGATGGCTATTTGTCAGGATATTTTATGTAAGAGTACTATTTTCTTCTACAGAATAGGTTGAGTATACACCACATTTACCACACTCCTATATTCCATGTTACATCCCTACCAGCAGCAGCACTGAAGACATCCAGTTCACTGAGAGAGAGAAAAATTATGAAGGGCTGTTCTGGTTTCTGCTGGACAATCTGTTAAAGGGACTTCAACATTATAAGAAACTAGCTTTTTAAATCAAAACTTAAACTTTCTTAAACTCAGATGTGCTAAACTAGTTCCCCTGGAGCTTTTTGGATTGTGTTTAGAATATTTGTTTGTAATGCATATTGGTAATTGTCATGTTGTACTTGTTGATTAATATATATAGTTGTAAAAGTCACACACTGTTGTGGTTTCTTTAAACAGTTTACCTTGCTGGTCATTCCACAGTCAACACTAAGGTCACCATGTTTGCATCTTGGAAGTGGACCTTCTCAGTAGTGGCACTTACCCTTTGGAACAACCTGCCCCATAGGGTACATGAGGCATAAAAGGTGGTATGTTTTCAATCCCTCCTGAAAATGTACTTTGGGCATAACCCTATGCATGTTTAGATAAAGATTCTGCAAATTCCAGGTGAGAGTTCTAAGATTTATTTCTGTCTAAACATGAACAGAATTGCACCCATATTTAAGCAGCCCTTCTGACTTGTAATTAATCATAATCACAATGCTGTTCCATCTTGTTTTTGCATTGCTTATGAGAGCGAAATTGAGAGCCAGTGTAGCCCAGGAGAGTGCTGGAGATCTGGTTTCTAGTCCCCTCTTGGATGTGATGTTCACTGTGTGACTTTGGGTGAACTGCTGACTCTCTGGCTAGCCTGCCTCACAGGATATAAATATAATAAAACATTTGTTCTTAATAGTGTATGTGAAATAATAAGTAAACTGCTGAGGGATTTTATGACATCAAGTGGTATATAAGCAGGGCTTTTTTTGTCATAGTACGCACTGGAAGGGCGTTCCGGCACCTTTTTTTCAATGGATTTTACAAGTGATTTTGAACAGCTAGCAGATCAGCAGCAAACATTATTAACATAGTGCCTGCAGGCTGCTATTGTGTCTGCTATCTGCTATCTGATAGTGAGAGATAGCTGCTGGCAGGCTTGGGATTGGTGTGTGTGCTTTCTGCCAGAGGGGGATGGTGACTTTTTTTTTTTTTTTACAAAAAAAGCGCTGTATCTAAGTATTATAAAAACAGATACTACAATGCAAAGAGAAGGTGATTTCAGTGGAAGGCACATTAAAGTAGATTTTCGAAAGCAATGGACTGTAGTCTGGTATTTTTAACATTTAAAAATTCTGTCTCAGGTTTTATTCTTCTTGTTTTGCTTTGGAAAAAGAGAACAAGATAGCTTAAACATACTCTTGCAAGCAAGATACTCAGAAATATATAAAATGCATAGAGCCCATAGTAGGAATGCTAGCATTTCGGAAGACAGTTTTATGTGCCCCTATACTTGGTCTTTCCAGCCTAGATTGCTGAGGCCTCCTTTTGAAAAGCTGCAGAATGTCTCATTCAGAGTCAATATATGCTTAAACTGGACAGGGCCTAAGTAGTCGGGACCAAACATCAAACATCACATGGAAAAAAAAAAAAACCTAAACAACATGTTTGAAATAATGGAGGAAAGTATCAATCGTAACTGTTGTTCTCAGAGCATCACCTTATGCTGCCCCTTTGATACAACAGCACAGAATAGTTCTATTCAGCTATATATTTACATATCTTTGTACTAAATACAGATTACAAAAGCAAAATTTGTTACTAAGGCCACATGTAAATTAATTACTATGTCTTCAGAGAAGTTAATTACTATGCCATTTCTTGTAAGTGTAATGAAATCTTGCGTGAACTGTTTGCTCCATTGAGGGAAGAAGCAAGCAATTCTTTCTGTTTTGAGGCTTGAGCTCTTTTCATCTCTTCTTGCATCTCTTGTCTATCGAATAAAATGAGAAGAGAAAAAGTGAAAATAATTCTCTTTCAAATTAACTCAACTAGCATATAGGAAAAAGAAAGTTAAGGAGAAATCTAGGATGTGATTACTTTGCAAAAAACATTGCTTCAAACTTTAGCTAAAGGCTTCCTTAGGGCATTTCCACATGTTAAAATTGCATTCCAGCAATTTGTATGATATTCTGAAAACCTTTTTTGTACAACAGTAGCATGATATCTGAACTCCATGTATTGTATGCTGGGGGAACAACCATGTTGCAGTAGAACATTGCTCATTTAAAATACCCTCAAAGACAGGTTGCTGCAGTTGTGCTGGTAATTAAAATATTTATGGGCTCATAAATACATTATTAGGGGTATTTTTTCATACTAAAATATTTCATTTTTAAGTACTTAGAAAATAGCAAATCCACACAACATAAGTGCAATACTGAGATACAACAACTGGACAATAAGTACATGTTCATTTAACTGTAGGCTATTGCAATATAAAGTGACATAAACAAAAATGATAAAAAATGCAAGGATGAACAGAGTTTGAATTACGAGCTACCATGACAGTTAACAGTGTGATTAAATAAATAAAAGCTACAGTGCATTTACTGTTTAAGATTTGAAAAGGCCCTTAGGAAATCACTTTTAAAATGCTAGAATGAACCTGTACTTGATAACTACATTTAAGTACCTGAGAAGTTCCTGATTATCCTTGTACTGTTGGTCAAAATTCTTCATTTCTCTCCAGTGTCTATAGTAGGTTTTTTTGAAGGCCTTGTGCCTCTGGTGGAGGGTATGGAAACTTTCCTTGATCACTTCTGCATATGTCTGTGAAGAATCCGTGATTTTAGGAGTAAAGGGTAACTCACAAAGAACAAGTACCAGATTTTTAAAAAATGATTATTTCCCAAAGATCTAAAAATAAAGCTCAGTAAAGTAGCATTTTTACAAACACATATCTTTTAAGCAATCTGCTCTATGTGCTATTACATCAACTACAAGGAATTTGTACAGTACTACTCCCCACCCCTGTGAGGGATCCTTAAGGCTGGCTCCTTCAGCTTCCATTTCTAGTCCTCTGCTATTTTCTTCAAGACCTTCCAAAGCTCAGAGATGTATCCAGCTGAAGCATGGAAAGATTGGGGGCAGGATAGAGACCTTTGCCTTCCCAGTAACTCTCGCATCTGTCATAAAAAGCCAGGAATTATAGTGGGCATTAGCAATAGAAGGGATGAAGTCCTTCCCACTGATTACTCTAATATCCCATCTCTTTTGTGTGTTTTAAAGATATTGTAAGCTGTTTTAGTGTTTATTTATCTTAAATATTATTGTTCTGTCTACCACTAATCAACTAACAAAACTGAATCTAAAACATATTTAAACCCACAGAAATCGACAGTCTTACAAATGCTAAATTCTGAATTGGACTGTAGCCATTACTTTTAAAGAATGAAGCCTAATGCAAACTTGTGAAGGTTCAGAGTGGAACTGGCAATAAACACTGCTGCCTTTAACTTCTGCTTCACAGCAGGAAACACTGCCCTGCATTTTTCCAGAACATGAAATTTGCTTGAGAGAACCAAGATGTGGTTATTGAAAGTCAATGGCTTTCCATCATTTCTCTTGTATATCATAAGGATATGGTATTGGCTTGGAGATTTCCCTCCTAGGCAAAAATATGTCACATCCTGCTTTTAGTTCAAGATTCCGTTTCTGGAGGAAGTGCTGAATGAGTGGACTTTGTCCGTTAATATTCAAGTGATGCCAGGTGAACTCAGGACCACAACAGGCTGGGTGTGACTAAAAGATAAATGAGAATGAATGTCATTTACATTAAACACAGATCTGGGAATCTAGGATGCATCTTACAGCTGTAACATTTTCATCACACTACAATTTTACTAATTAAGTAAAACTTGTCTCCAACAACCACTGTTGATACCTTGTTCTTGTGTGGTGATTTAACCATTTATGTGTACCAGAAATGTATGTACCATGAGTTAGGATAAGGATCAAATACTGTAGGAAATGCACACAAAATTGACTAGTCTGTACTGACATAATCCAGTGAAAAGCCTTAGAATTCCTGTGATCAGAAATCCTGGTAAAGCAAAGTTGAATGCACTTATGGAGTCCCTTTCTCACTTCTGCACACAACATGTGAAGGTCTAACTGGCAGCCGGATGCATACATGCACATTTATGTCTCCCATCTATCTTTCCATGTGTGAGCAGCCAAATGCCTGCATAGGGCTACTGCTGAATCCCTGATCTGGCTGTTTTCCTACAGAGTATTCATCTGCACAATAAAGGAATGGCCTCCCCTGTAAAACTGGCTTATCCTTGATATAAATCCTACAAACACTCCATATTGGGCCAAATTGTTACTGTGTCATGGCCAGGATTTACTCACAGATTCTTTTTGCACGAATGATAAATGTTCATGTATCCAGCCACATGATTTTTGTAATGCAATTACTGGTAAGGTTTATCTGAGATGCCATGATTAAGCAAATGGCTTCAATCATATATAAAACTCTCACTTGCACTTTCACACAGTGGCTGCCTTTGGATAGCTTAGTACCTAAAATTCATCCTAAGGATAGGGATCATGTGGGCCTCTTCAGATTGTTGGACTGCGACTCCCATCATGCCTCACTATTGACTGTGTTGCCTAGGGCAGATCGGAGATGCAGGCCAAATAGTTCCGTATGTTCCTTACCCCCATTTTATTATGATGGGAACAAACTTAGGCAAGCCTTGGGCATCTGTGCTCCCTGCTCCTCCACCAGCATGGCTGCAATGAGGAATTTGGATGCTTTCACATTTTTTTTATGGACTACAGCTTATTGCACCATCTGAATCAACAAACTGTAGTGTATCTTAACTATGGTGTGTTTGAAGCATACCAGCTTCAAACTGCGGACCATGATGTTGGTTTTTTAAGGCTAACTACAATTTATGTTTTGGTCATAATGCTAAAGTGCATTTAACTAAAAATGGAAATACAAGCTTCCAAACCTCTTGCAGGAAGGAAGAGTATGAAAATGAAGTTCACCTGAGCTCATTCCTAGCATGCTAAACTATGGTTTATTCTAACATCCAAATGCAGCCAAGTCTCTTTACGTTCCTCTTTACATGAGGAATGCCTTGTTTTCAGTCTGAATGTGACCCTGCACACTCCCACGGTGGGGAGGCTGCTGTCAAATGTGAACCAGCTCATAGATATGTCCTATGAAATAAATAGTGATTCAAGCTTTGTTCCAGATGTTCCATTTCTGTTTCACTGTCTTGGGGGAAATGGATGTATATGTGCCTCAACCCTCCCCCAATAACCCAATCAAGACTGGGCACTGAAGTAGCAGAAAAGAATCTTCAGTGTCTTTTCTCCTGCATTTAAAGGGCATATTGGTATAAACAGTAAGGAATATATCATCAACTTATACAGATCCATTAGTGAGTGTGGTGTCCTATCTTTATAAAATATATCACCTCTCGAGGAAGCAAAGCAATTGCTAGCTTCTTTTTCTGTGAGCGCCGGCATTTGTTCCATGAATCCTTCTCATCATTCTTTTTAAGCTGGCTATCACACGGCAGAGAGTGAAAATTAACCTGAGGATGCCTTCTTTCTAGGAAAAAAGCAGCCATGTGATAATTATTAATCAGTTGTTATGCAAGATGTCTCGATCTAATTGGAATGTCAGAATCTCTTTCTTGCTTTGGCATCAACCAGCACCAGTTAAAAACACTATCCTACTTCTGGCTTTTGGACTAGGCAGGAGCATGACCCAACCAAGCCAGCACTTGGCAGTGGGTGAGAGCTGTCTGACAGCACCAGCACAGTTAACAGAGAGAAAGCTAAATGCTGAACAGTAGGGGAGTTGACCAGGAGATACTAAAATTAGAAAACAGGAAGAGTTGCACCACCGCATCTAGGCAATAACTGAGAGCTTTTGTAGCTTGCGTGACTGAACCTGGTACACAGCTTTTGTATCATACTTAAGAGAAATGATCCTGAGTAAAGTTCTGAAATGAGATGCTTTGTGTTAGTAGGCAAGAACCTTTTGATCTCTTTTTGGATAGTTACAATCTCTGCTCTTGAGCTGAATGGGCACACTCAGGATCAAAGATAGGCAAGCACAGACAAAGCTTTACTACTTCTGTAGATATTCTGTGTCATCTTATAGTCAAACAGACTATTATTTCTCATACCAGGAGTATAAGTCTGCTTCCTTGCAACCAATTAACTCATTTATATTTTTTGTCATAGCAGGCTGATTATTTTTTGTGAGCAGGCCGATATAAAAATAAGAAAATACGCACTTGTGTACTTGAAGAAAGAATACCGCACTGATGCTGCACAATAGTATAAAAACAAACTGGAGGGCTCTTTTAAACAAAGTACTTTTCTTTTACTTTTCAATTAGCTACCTCTTTTGGACAGCAGCTGTTGATCTTTTTTCCTGGAAATACGTTTCTTGGCTATGTATTTGTGCTTCCTAACAGAAGTTCTTAAAGAGAGGTGTTTCTGAATCACAAAAAGAGAGACAAAGAACAAATTCACACTAATCATGTCTGAATATCTTGCCTTTGGGAATGAACTTGGCAGCGTGTGTGGTTGGCAAAAGTAAAAAAGGCCCTTCTCTGGGAACCCTCCGTGTAGGAAATTAGGAGGGTGAGTACTTGGAGGAGGGCTTTCTCTGCGGTGGCGCCCAATCTATGGAATGTGCTCCCCAGAGAGGTCTGCCTGGCACCGTCGTTATTTGTTTTTCGGCACCAGGCGAAGACCTTTTTATTCAAATGTTATTTTAATTGTTAATATTTATTCATTTTATTCTTTGGCCAAGGCGACTTAATTTATATTGTTAATTTATATTGTTTTATTGAATTTTATTTATTTATGTTTTGTGAGCCACCCCGAGGCTTTGGCGAATGGGGCGGCATAGAAGTCGCCTAAACAAACAAACAAACAAATAAATAAGGAACAGTTTTAAAGAGAAGACAGAAAGGACATAAAACAGTGAGATACTGTTGGAAGACCAAACAACTTAATATTTTTTCTTGTTTTTTAAAGAGCTACATGAGTGCTCACTCGATTGAGTGGATCAGTGCTTGCTCTTAATCATTGCTTGCCATTAGTGATGTCACAGACAATGTTCCATAGCTCCCTATGACAAAAGCACAGCAATAGGAAGCATTTCAGTCCAATAGCAATGGAAATGGTTCTGAAGGATATATCCACAAGCCTCTGCAGCAATGGCTTGCAACACCTTATAGAAATTCCTCACCATGCTATTACTTATAAAATATACTTCCTCTTATCCCTTCCTTTTTTCCTCTGCATCTGGCTTATTTATATAGTTTTCTTAAGATCATACTATGACAGGGTTATTGATATGAAATCTGATCTCGTAAAGTCAGGCAAGATCATTCATCCTCAAATGGACTTGATTATATCACCCAGATTAATGGCTCCCTTCCCAGTACAAATACATGTAAATGAAATATTTTACCTGCATGGGGAACATTCTCTCAGAACCAGCTTCCTTGCATTGAAAGGAAACATCAGAGGCTATAAAAATCAAACACAATTCAACATTTATCTGTTCCTCAAGATCATCGGATGGAAGAATTCTCTCTCTATCTGGGATACAGGACATACTCTTCATGATACGCACATTTTATTTTCTACACATAGAGGCTTAAATGCAGAGTTAGTCACAGAGAAGACCAAGTGAAATCAATGGGACAAGTTAGTCATTAATTGAAGTCCATTGGTTTAAGCAGGTCTTCTCTAAGCATGACTAAATCTGAATCTTTGTGTTTACTGGGATTTTTCAGAAATTTGATGAAATTATGAGAATTCTGCCTGTGAAAAGCAATGTACTAGCCTTGCCTGAGGAACAGCATCACAACCTTCCTTCCTTGGAAAACAATTAAGATTTTCCTGTGAGAATTGACCTCGAGGAGGTCTAAACTAGGCAAGTAGACATTAAACAACTGTGGAGCCTTGTATATTCTATTGATCCAGAAAAAGACATCCATCAAATTAGAAAGGGAAGTAAAGGTAGTTTGTTGCTATGCCAAATGCATGCACATGGCGAGTTTTACATGGAATTCTGGAAGAAATGACACAAAGCACACAGTTCTGAGTTTAAAGCAAGTTTCTAGTCCTATGGGAGAGTAAGCGTAGTAGGTTAGAGTACTGAACCAGGAATGGAAATACCCACATTGAAACATCCACTCAGTGAGTTACTGTTTTGAACCAGCACTGTGCCTCAGCCTAACAAGAATTTTGCAAGGATAACAAAGGTGGGGGTAAGGAACCATATAATGTTTCAAGCTACTTGAAGAAAAAATGGGATATAAACATTAATAACAGAAATAATATCACAAGTATGTGAAAAACATTGATGCAACATACATAAAAAGTTCCAATGATTAGGAGGAACTGTATTTGGTATGGCTGTATATCCCTTCCTTATGGGTTGCAGTTAATTTCTATCATTTATCTATTTTTCCTTCTTGTTATACACTACTCTAAATGTCTATCTTTTACAAAAGCTAATTAAATATGGAATAAGGTATTAAAATAAGCAGAGTAGCATGATTCTGAGTAAACTGTAATCTTCACTTTAAGATTTTATGCATAACTGCAATCTTTTAGCTTAATACTAATTTAAACATCCCCCCACTGGCTGCCACCACCAACTGAAAATATCTTCACTTTGGCTTTTTTCAGGAATTACGTTTTGCTAAAATATTACTAATTAGGATTAGAATATATTATGATGCTGATTTATATTGATTTAGGCCACAGGTCCATTTAACCCTGCAGCATACTCTGGCAAGAGGCCTCCATGTTTGCTTGAGATACTTTTAACTGGCAATAACATTGATTGACCTGAGATGCAAAGCACGCACTCTGCCACTGAGCAATAGCCTCTCCAGTTCCGGCATAATTTCACTTGACCTATTAGCACAGTTGACATGCAATGGGAGCAGGGAGTTTAGCAGATGCTTTTATTTTATTTTATTTTATTTTATTTTATTTTGTCACTTCAGCACAACACTTCCTCTAGTGACAGATGCAGAGATCATAGGATCATAGAAGGGGCCTAGAAGGCCACTGAGTCCAGGCCACTGAGTCCAACCTGGTGCAGGGTGCCAGCCACACCATCCTCTTCAGGTTACTGTCTATTTCTTTCTTGAATGTCTCTAGTATGGAAGAGCACACAACCTCTCTTGGCAGATGGTTCTACTGTCATATTGCTTTTACAGTTAGGAAATTCTTCCTTGTATCTAGCCTGCACCTGGTGTACTGTAGTTTAAGTTCATGGTCCTATTTCATTATAAATAGCAGTTCTCCCAGTTTGCTGAGAAAGAAAAACAATCTGTTGAGGCACTTACCAGTCCCCAAGTTTCCCTTTCCTGACAGCATATCTTCTCTCCTAGATCGCTCTGGTTCCAGCTGGGAATAATCCCATTTATTGTAACTCCCTGGTGCATGCAAAGTACCTGCATCAGAGACAGGGAGAAGGAAAGGCTGATAGTAAGAGAAAAAGGAATGGACTCACTGTTATCTATATGCCTTTTAATCTACTGGACAGTGTCATGTATGATTATTTAGTTATGTTTAACATAAAAGCAAAAATGAGGGAGGGAAGAGAAAATAAGTGAAAGGACTAGAACAATGTTAGAGCCTGTGGCCCTTAGATATCATGGCAGGGAGGTCATAGGATAATTCAAATTTCCAGATTTGAGGCCAGAGACAACGTTTCATCCAAGCAGCACTCTGATCCTTCTCCCCAGCTAATTGCTGGTACAGAGAGAACAGTATCTGGAAATTACCCTTGGCAAAGGGATAAAGGGGACATTTTAGTGGGAGAGGTGGAGCTTGTGGCTGCCAGGATACAACCTCCTTGCCTCCCCACTCCAATATGCCCTAACTAGATAGTCCAAGATGGCCAGCTGAAGTGCAGTGCAAGAACATGCAGGGAGGTTGAGAGGCTCCTCCTGGTCTGCACTGGATGCTTCTAAGTATCCACATTCAGGAGTGTATGAGAATCAAGGGGACAACCAAAAGGTTTGTGCCCTAAAACAGTTTACAGAACTAAACCAGTTGACATAACTGCAGCAGTATCCTTGTGTATGTAAAGCTCTGAAGGTAGCAGTGTGCTCTGGTGAAATAATTCTCTCTCTTGAGCACAGAAATTACTTGTTCTTGCTGTGCAGTCTGCATTTAAGCAACTGAGAGGGACGGACCTGCCTATTTAGCTTTACCTGTAGAATGGCATGATTTGCAAACTTATGAGCATCATATAGACACAGCTTTCTGTATACCCAAGGTTCTATAGGTATCCAAGAGCAACTTGCCCTCCCAACCAGTAGTACACTTAGTTACCAAAGGCAGCAGAATTCCAGGTGTTAGTCCTGACCAATCAGAAAATCATCAAGAAGGAACACAACCACTCCATCCAAATGATGGATCTGAGTTGTAGCAGCAACTGCATTCAATTTTATCTGCCTTGCAGCCTCACTTCTCATTCCATAAAGTGAATGGAGTAAATGCCTCTTCCATTTATTAATTTGTGTCAAGCATGGACAAAAGGCTGAAACTGGAAAAACCAGTCAGAGTTTTGTAGCACTATCCAATTTTAGTTCTGATCATCTGATGAGGTAGATGAAAGTGTATAATAACAAGCATATATCATAACAGATATGTTGGTTTTCATGATGGAATGTGCTGCAACAGACTAACACAGGTAATGGCCTGGCAGTTATAGGTAGCTAGGCAAGTCTTTTGATTCTAGTTCAGGATAAGGGAAGGAAGCTGGGGGCAGTTTAAAAACAGAGATACTTTGCACATGGTTCAAAGTGGGTGTTTAGCTGATGGTAATACTGTGAACAGTTGCCAAAATTTGTGCTGCATATTATGTAGAATATGGAGAAAAATCATCAACCAAAGCCTGCACATGTACAACCAAAGCTTGAACAAGGAAAGCATCTCACCTCCTAACCACTCAGAAAATACATCACAGAGTTGTGCCTTGAATTCATGTGTATTGAACCAGGACCTCGGGAAACAGTAGCAGAAGCAGGTGTACACAACTTGACTCAGCAATGATGGAAAAAACTAGACTCAAGAACAAGACGGTGGTAGGGGGGAGAAATATGGCTCAAATAAAATCGTTACTGTAAACAAATTGAAAAATATAATCCAGTATTTTTCAAGCTTTTCCAGGAACTGCAGGCTTCCTTACAACCTTATCACCTGTTCCACATGAAAACATGACTAGCAGAGGGCAATCTTCTGAAAATCTACTTGTTCGCGATTTCTAATCTTCCTCAGCAATGTAGTGCTTGTGTCTGTCACAGTAACAGTTCATGCAGGACAGAGGTAAAGCTCAACAAACCAGGCCAGTGCCCCATATGAAATGTGATTTTTATTTTTATTTTTTTTTTACATTTAATACATTTATATTCCACCTATCCTCCAAGAAACCCAAGGCAGAGTAGCTAGTCCACCTTCACTCATTTTATCTTTGCAATGACCAGTGCAGTAGGTTAGTCAGAGAAAGGCCCAAATCACCCTGTGAGCTTTATAGCTAAATGTGAACTAGGTCGCTCAAGTCTTCCAAGCACTTAGAAGCACATTCTAAGCACTATATCACACTGGATCTCTAATGAAAAACATGGAAGAATATCTTGATAAACAAAAGAACATGAATAAGGGTTTCTTGAAAGGTAGAAAGTTTGAAATACCTCAAATCAACGGACTGTGAAAAGAGTGTCACCTATTTCAATATTTAAATATGACATATAAATGTAAATATGGTGCTGGCTTTCTTAAAATGCATTTCCATTATTAAGGCTTTTCAGAGAAGAAAGAACCTCAGTATCCCCTATTTGAATTGTATTCTATTAAACAAAGGGAAACAAAAAATATTGAACCAGGATCAAGAATTCTTTCCTTGGCACCAGGATTAAAAAATAGCATTGCCAAACATAAAAAGCAGAAGAGCTGTAAGCAATTGCAATGGCTCTTGCTCACATTTAAATAGAGACAATATTGGTTTTCTGTTCAGCTCAAGCTTGCCAAGTTCAGCATTTGTAAAATAACATTTATCAGTAAAAGAAAAATATATTCACTTTTGTTTCACCAGAGAAGAACCCTGTTAATGATTCAGGATCCCAAGTTGGGTTCCTGCTTCCAAGGAAGCAGGAAGAAGCTTTAAGGAGAGGAAAAGAGGAGGCTGATACTTGGACCAAGTGGAAAATGGTACTTGCATCAAGTACTGAGTACTAAACATGATGTGATGTAATCATGCAATTGCTTGGACACTGGAATTATTTTAAAAGCAAATAGCATGTGGGAGGTTGGCTCCCCATAAGGAAGGGGAAATGAACCCCCCACAACCACACCCAGGATTCTGTTCCACTATGATCATCTCTCCTGTCACCCCAGATGTCTGCTTTTTAAAAATTCACGTAATTAGCCAGCACTCTTATATCTAACATCCCACAATACCAAAGGTAGGCTGGATGTGTTGCTGTCAAAGGACTGCTTTAAAAATTATTACAGAATTTCACAGAAGACAGACTGACTGATGCCTCTTTGTTGTGATAGCTAAACAAGACCTCCAAATTCCGAGACATGAAAAATAGCTGCTAGGAAGAAACAGGAAATGGCTTGTTGTTCTTGTGCCCCATTTGTTAACCCTTGCAAGAGGAAACAGAGACCCAGATGAAGCAAGGCTTGGTTCTGATCCCCCACACTCCACAAAAGCTTCCGATGTTCTTGTAAGGAGGAAACATTGACAATGGTTGAAAATGGGGGCAAAATGGTTATGTTGCTTCTTTCTTCTTCGGTATTCAACTAGCATCCAGTTTAACTGTATCAAGAGCAGAAAGGCATCATATGCAGATATAATTAGAAATTCCAGGGTGGTGATCAGCGCTACAACCCTAGGGACTACAAAGCATCCACATTTTTTGTGATATTTGACTTTGTCTAATAACAATATAGATTTGGACATTTTTCTTATGGCAAGCATGGTTGCCTTTGTTTTTTGAAATCCTAACAGTGTATCTAATGTTAGTTCTATTTGGAATAAATCCATTAACATGAATGCAACTTAAGTTAGATTAACCCCTAGATTTTATCTGACATTTAAAAAAACTTCTTCCAGTACTGATGAAATCTAAAGCATCATATAAGGCATAAGGTGATACACTTTTTAAAAATCTACCTCAGAATTATTTCAAGGATAAAATAGAAAAGAGGGGATTATATACACTGCTTTGGGATCCTTGTAAGAAGAAAAAAGGCAAGATATATCTGCAATAACAACAACAGGCTATCCTCTACTAATCCTCCATCAAAATCTGATGCCTCCTTTTAAAAAGTCTTTGCATACTCACTGTCAGAATGTGCTCCTGGTTGGAAACCTTATGACAGCCCAAGAGAACACGGGAATAATTTTCTGCAATGCGTTCAAACAAATGTCCCTGAATCTCTCGATTTGGCTATTGGGAGAGGAACCAAGTGAAATGTTACTGAACAGGCACTGGATTACCAATCAAACCATGGTGATGGGCCGCCAAGGAAGATAAAATGTAGTCCACATCCAGACTGCCCAGGTAAAGGATCTTATGTATCTTAGCCTTTAAAATACATTCAGAATCTTCAACTGGTTCAAAATACAGTTTCCAGACTATTAATTGGAAACTTATGCAGTGATCAAAGTTCTTTAACATTGAAAGATATGGCTTGGTTTCTATTTGTTTCAGGGCATAATAAAAGGTGGTCATGTTGACCGATAGAGTCCTAAATGTTTGAGACCCAGGAATCTGAAGATCCTGAGGCTCATCTGTCATCCTGGATAACAGGCCAAGTTTGTCTTGCATGCTCAAGCTTTTAACTAACATTAATGGTTTTTGTTCAGTATTCTTAAATTTTAAGGATAAAGTTCCATTTCCAGTTGTTTTGTTATTATTTTAATGTTTGATATAAGCTGCCTTTATATTTTAAAAATGGGAAGCAAAGTAGGATTTAAAAAAAAAATCCTGATCTTATCTTGTTTTCTTGCTAAACTAGTCCAGGCCTCCAACACAATCATCTACCTCTGGGCTCTCCAAGAGGCCTGCAATAACCAGATGACTCAAAGAAGTTCTCCATACATTAAAAAGTTTTAAAAACTTTCACTGGACAATCTGACCCTGCCTCCCTGTTTTTAGGGATATGATGATAATAACACTCGCCAAGTAAGAACAAAGTATGCTGTCCTCACATAATGTTGCTAAGGCTGATAGATAGCAGTTTTTCCAGAGTTGTGCATTAACCTCCACAGCCAAGCAGAGATTTGAACTCAATCTCTATATTTTATTTCATGCATTTATATACCAGCTCACCACCAGTAAGTTCACGGCAGAATACTTCATACTCTCCCATAATCTTAACCCGCAAAAGCTCTGTAAAGTAGGCTGAGGCTAAGAGCTAGCAACTGGCTTAAAGCCACTCAGTTCTCATCTGAATGGCAGTTTGCACCCCAGCCTCCCCAGTCATAGTGCAGCATTCTCTCTAAACATACTTCAGTAGCAGAACACATGCCTAGAACCTTCTGCATATAAAGCATCTCCAGTTAAAAGAATCAACTAGATAATTATACAGGATTTTGCCACATTTGTAACCCACTCCCTACCTTGCAGGTTAAATGCCACTCTAAAGGTTTTTGGCAGAAGGGTGGTATAGCAATATTATATATAGCTTTGGCTCATACTTCACTGTCCCTGGGTTGCTGTTTGCAAATCTGAGACATAAGCAGGTTGATCAATTTCAGAAATAATTGCTTCCCTGCCCCATAACAGAAACTTAAACAGAATACATTAGTGAAGGGTCAATAGCAAATGTGCACATGTCCACAATGCCAGCTTTCCAAATATTCTTGTTGAACATGACTTGATGAGGCTGTTCTCTCTGTTGTTGCACTAAATGTTTCTGCTGTCAAGGTTTCTAAGATTTTGCTACAATCGCAATGACATAACTTTTATATTTATACAGCATTAGGACTAGCCTTAGCAAGAATGCACAATCTCAGGAGAAATCAAACAGTTAGAAACCAGCAAACCAGAAGTGGAAAATCACAGGGAATAAGATCTACCAATTCAACCCTTTCCTTACATGATACAGATGTAGAAACTGCCACCAGAAACTGTCCAGCAAAATAGCTTGGATGCATGGAGCACCAAGAAATCTGCGCAGCATCTTCACAGCCCACCTTGTCTGTAAGGAAATTGAACAGTACACAATCATGCTCTAGATGTTTTTAAAAAGGTTTAAAAAGACAGAAGAAATAGAAGGAATTTCTTCACTTTTCAGTTCATTTTTTAAGACTCAGCCATGTCAGAATGTACTTAAGCAGTTAATTCACTGAGATTGTTACCTTAAATACTAGGATCCCTGCTCAACTGGGTCCAGCTGAGCTAAATATTCATCATTGGAACTAGACAAGAACATTTAGTACTCATGGCCTTGCTCAGGCATAATATCTCAGTCTAATAAACCATGTTTCACCAGAGAGAGTTTTAGTATTAAGCTTTTGTGTTTCTCATCTTTCTTGAACTGTTCTTGAAGATATCCAGAGTTCGTTAAAGCAGAGTTTCTCACTACATCTCAGACTACAAGCCAGAAAAAAATATCACCCTTATCCCCAAGTTTCTTATTCTGGTTTGTACTCCAAGATTAAGCCACAGCTTTCAAGTTCAGATATAATGGAAGACGGTGGCTTACCAAATGAGGGATGTTTTAAATGCAGCATAAAAGAGAATGGAGGATGGAACAGGAAGGGGAACTGCAGAGACACAATACTCATTCTCAGTTGAATAAACCACAATTTGTATGAGTTCATTACATCTAGACTGTCTCCAAGTTTGAGGGGCTCCTGGGTAAAGTGTCCTCTACTGCTCCCCTCAATCTGTCAGTGGGCTCTGGTGGACTTACCAAGCTGGTCATGGTCAGAATTGTTATCAGAATGGTAACTAGACCCCGGGGTCCCACCCAGTGTCATGTCCAGTATCAGGCTTTAAAAAAATGTGCCTAGGGTAGTAGCAGTATCAGGCCCTTCCAGCTGCCCAAGGATTGCACACAGAGACACCAGCTGTGTCATGCACTTTCACACAATGTAGCTGCTCTTTGGGTGTGCATGTACATCTCTACACCATCAGTTCCACCCTTACTATCATCCTCCAGAAATGCCCTATATTCTTGAATATTTGAAGTATCCAGCATACCTTCCCAATTATTGTTTTACTCTGGGCACGAATCACCTTGTCCAAAATTTCATCTAGCTCTATTCCATTTGGCAACAGTGTGAGTTCTTCCTTACAGTACCCTGGGTATTGATACAATTCCACAAGTTTATCTTTTTCCGTTACCATCTAAGGATTGAAGGAAGAAGTAATACATGAAACATTTAGAAGGCAAACAGTCCAATCCCAGTAGCATTCCAAGGCAATTTGATGCCATTCCAAAATTTCTGCCATTTTGTTGGAGAAATCCAGCAAAATGAATATCCTTGTTGATCTAATCAACTATAGGCCAAACCACATGCTACATGGAATCTCTCAAACAATTGTTTTTACTGTAAAGTTTTTTTAATGTACTTACAAAGTTAATTTTCTGCAAAGGAGGATAATGTAAGTTTTAAGGAATGTTCTCACAGTGACTACATAAACATTTTAGGGGAGTTAGTATTTACTAATGATTGAAGCTGAAATTTGATAAACTTTTCCTGGGGAATTAGAATACATCAGTGATTTTAATGAACTTCATAAGGATCATTGCTGAAATACACTTTTAACCAGTGACCCATAGTTGGGTGATTTATAATACTAATGTGTACCTGACTATTCATGCTATTAAGATTTTGTATAAGTGTCAGCCTTTTACAGTAATGCAACATAAGTACAATTTGTGCAAAACTGAGTATATTTCTTTGCATACAATTGAGTGTTTTCCTTGTGCAGATTATTTATTCTTAAAACAGGTATAGGAGAGTTTAATTGGACTGAAGAGGGGCAGTATGGGAAGGGATGCTTAACTGTTTTCCCCATGAGCAATACAGATAGTCATCATGAACACCTGCTTTTCATGCTCACTTTGCACCAAATGATCTTTCTACCTCGAGCTGAACATGTAACAGTAATAACCAAGGTAGAGTTAGCCACAGTTACACATGTCTTCATCAAGAAAGGCTGCAGCTCGTATATTAACCAAAGCTGTGCAAAGGCACTCCAAGCAACAGCTGACCATTCTTCTATCAGAAAGGCCAGCTCAAGGCAAATACAATCTGGCATGACTTCTGAGTGGGCCACTCTTGCTGGTGTAAGGGAACTTCTCTCTAGAGGCTACCAAGAGCTGTGGAGTGATGAGGGTATTATGTAGTTAGGCCTGTAGTTAACTCCTCCTGCCTGTACATCAGAGGCCCAATGAAAATCCACCACTACCACTTTGGCAGCTATTAACTATAAACAAGTCAAAGGCACAGCTTTAATCAATCCACTTTGGCCCTTGGTCTCAGGCCTCTTCTACAAGAACAGATAAAAATACTGGCCTGGGTAATAGGGCTCTTCCTTGGACTAACAGAAGAAGCCTGTTGAATGCTATAAAGCAGAATATGAATGCAGAGGCCTAATATCAAATACAGGGAACAACAATTACAGGATAATAGGCTAGAACAACCCTCTATAAGCCAGCATCCTCCAGATGCATTGGACTACAACACCCATATTTCCCAGTCAGTTGTCTGGGAATTGTGGGAGTTGCAGACCAATACATCTGAAGGGTACAGACCAATACATCTGAAGGGTACCAAGTTGAGAAAAGCTAAGGGCAGCTGAGTTGGAAACAAATTGATTCAGTATTGATTTTCCATAGGTACTCACCTCAAAGTAAAACTCACATGTCCTGGTAATTTAAAATGTTAAAGATTCTGCCACTTCCAACACACTAACCGTCGTTATTTGTTTTTCGGCGCCAGGCAAAGACCTTTTTATTTAAGCAACATTTTAAATGTTAATACTACTGAATTTTATCTGGCCAGGGCGGCTTATTTTATATTGTGTGTATATTGTATTTTAAAATATTATTACTATTCTATATGTATATTTTAATTTATGTGGTTTTATTTATTGTTGTAAGCCGCCCCGAGGCTTCGGCGAATGGGGCGGCATAAAAATGTTTTAATAAAAAATAAATAAAAAAATAACCCAAATATGCAAAAGAATGGGCAGCTCCTGCCAGTGTACCATCATACCTTTTTCTGAGCTATTTTGCCTTGAGTTATTAAAATATCCATCTCTGAACCATGCCCACCAGTCTTCAGCATTGCTTTTTGGTCTCTGTCTGTAATGTAAAAAAAAAAAAAAAAAGCAAAAGAAAGGCTATATGAAATGTCCAAACAGTATCAAACAATACAATGGCCAATTGTTCTGCAATAATAAGTCAAAATACTAGGCTTTTTATTGTCAGCTCCAAGTCATAAGCAGCAGGCATCCTCAACTAGGACTGGAAGCAATGGAGATAGAGGGAGAACCAGTGCTTACTTGGGCAAAGGCTGAATGTTTGGCAAGGCATAGCAGGTCCAGAGGCAAAACTGAGTCAGAAATATGCAAGAATCCAGTAATAATAAAGGAAGAAGTGAGCATCAAGACATAAATGAAAACAATGAAGGACTGGAGATAGCTAATGAATCAAAATGACACAACCACACAAAACAGCAATAAATAACAATTAAGCAAAAATACAATTACATAAGTTAAATAAAAGTGATGGTTAAACATTAAAATTTTAAATTAGTTTTTAAAATAACAGTTAAATAAAAAGGTTTTAACCTGGCACCAAAAAGAGTATAAACTTGGCACCAGGTGCACCTCTCCGGAGAACACATTCCATAATACAGCTCAACCAAAATAATAAAGCAGCAATGCGCCTGTGCTGGGTTTTAATTGTACTTCAAAATAGCTAAATAATGATGCATTTGGCATTAGAGATTATATTCTCAAAGCTCAGTAAGTTCAAAATCCTCAGATGCACTCATTATATACAAGATGCTTTTTATTTGTTTTAAAGTGCAAGCCTGGGTGGGGTTATGTTTTTCTGTATAAACATATGTAGGCTTGTGCCCTGTAGGATCTCGGTGGGAATGTTGACATTTTCTGAAGAACTGAAGTCATGAATTTTAAAAACCCACTTTTAAATACTTATGCATTGTAACTGCAATCTCTCTGGACAAAACACTCGACCTCCGGGGTCCTCCTCTGCATGCCTACTCCAAGGGAGGCTCAAAGTGTGACAACAAGGAGTAGGGCTTTCTCTGTGTTAGCCCCCCATCTATGAAACCATTTCCCCACTGAGGCCTGCCAAGCACTAAGCTTGTCATCTTTTGGGTGCCAGGTTAAGATTTACTTAGTGTTTGAGGGGACTACCCATCTCAGGTAATTTCGCATTTTTCCTTCTACATGGTCATGTTTGCTGTATGTTGTAGCTATTTTAAATTATCAACTTTTAATTATTTTAATATGTTTTAATTGTATATTTTATATTGATTTTATATGTTGTTTCCCAGAGAGCTTTGACAGTTGGTCAGTATAGAAATATAATTAATTAACTAACTAAAATCAAATATAATGCCAAATCATGGTTTGGCTTTGTATCTAAACCTTCACCAGCTTACATATCATGTGGTTTGTGAAGACTTGCCAAACCAGGATATCAAACCACAGTTTGACGCAGCTTTACTAATTATGTTTTTTTATTAACTAGGATTTACTATTTTTAATTAACAAAGCATCAGTTAAGGCAACTGCTCTGCCTCTGAACAGTACTATATAATAGAGAAGGGAATGATTTCACCTTATCAGGTTGCTGTGTCATGAAGATATGAGTGAATTTATGACTTTTTGAAGTCGAGCAGATGGAACACGAACAGCTCTAAACTGGTTTGCCTCATCTAGGTTTGTATACTCAGACCATGGTGTGGGTTCTTAACTATGGTTAGTACAAACCATGGTTTGGCAGGATGATGGAATTGAGCCACAGTGACAAAATAGGAATTTACTAAAATAAATACATTTTAATGAATATGTGTTTTTGCAGGAGAGAACAGCATTAATATTCTTTAGTAATTATGCCTACCTTTCCCCCTGTTTGTCCTTGATCCTATTCTAGAAATCCTCCGAGTTTGATGTTTCTTCAGTCCCACATTCTCAATCACCTTGAGAAAAACAACAATAACTTGTGGTTAGAAAGTATTTTTCTGGGAAATCCTGGAATGTACTCTTTCTTTTCTGTGGCACATTAGAAAAGGAAGGGTACATGCACATTCATTACTAATTGCCTCTCTTTTGTCATTCTCTTTTACATGAACACTTAACCCAAGCTTGAGGAATCTAATAGAATATCTCTAAAATAATTATATGAGTTCTGGTAAATAATGCTATAATACTAAGCACATTTGTTAGGAAGTCCTGCTGAATACACTGGGGCTTACTTTTGTGTAAAGATACACAGAATCTGCTTTACTCTCACTTCTTTTGTTTGAAAAACAACTGATCCAAATAGCCATCAGTCCTCCCCACAAACATTTGCCATCTAATATTTTCTTTTATGTGCTATGAAGACCAGTGCAAGAAGTACAGCAAAGTTTTAAAACTTGCAACATTTAGTTCTAATAGGTGCCACATGATAGCACTTGGTACATATCTCACTTTCTGGACCAATTAGACAGATATGAAGGCTCTACAACTTCCCTCCACTTAAAAAACAAAGTAGATTTTTCAGATTGCCCTTTGATACTTGATACTTTGATTGATACTTTGTTAAATCTTTCACCTAAAAATAGCATAATAAAAACCACTCAGGGGTTCTTCACATACAATGCTGGAAGATCTCTTTACTCACTAGGTCACTACTGTCAAATTTTTTGAGTCCCAATTCTAAGTGAGTGATTTTCTGGTTCACATTTCGTATGCTGCCAATGACATATGCTAATAGATCTTCATTAAGGATTTTTTTCAAGTAAAAGAATTTCCTGCAATTTTTATTTTTTCATATCCCACCTAAGTATAGTTTTATATTTTCATATACTTTCATACTTTGTCACTGTGTGCTCTTGTCAAGCAACTCTATACCACATGGGTCAAGCCATGCTGCTGGGTTTGGATATGACAAACCACCATGGGAGGAAACTACCCTCACCAACTCTACTGCAAGGCATGGGTTCGCAGGGGTGGCTTGTCTTTGGTTAACAAACCATGCAAAAACAGCTCTCGGTGCTCATGTCATGGTAAGTCATGCCAACACTAACAAGGCTCCCAATCACTGTGGCTTATTGCAATGGTCTAATGCAGTCATGGCCTGTTGTAGGGTTGTGGGGCAGTTTATTAACTACTCCAAGCCAGCTCTACCAGGTTCAGAAGCCACAACAGGGGCTTGGACTGGCAACCTAGAGCCCATGGGTGCCATAAGTCATAGTGGGCTGCAGGGATCATGTGAACCAGGTCAGTGAAACTATCTCTTTAATCAAGCATATACTGTATAAACTTTAAAGGATACGGCGTGGCTTGTCATCTAATTGGCAATACATGGTTTCATTTTTCTTCTCTTGGTCTGCTGGTGGCAATATCAAGAATCCCTTCAGAGGGCTCACAAATGATTCAGTAGTTACAAATTCCATCTTTCCTCTTAAAATAACAACAGAACCCTAAAAATATGAAAGATTGGGGAACACATTTATATTTAAGTGCAATTTATACAGTCTTTCTCATGATTACCCATAGACTCTTTGTACTGATTTAAACTAGACTGCTTCTTTATGTTCCTTCATGTAGAAATGGTTTACTGTATAAGGAAAAAGTCAACACTTTCTCTTTCGCTGTATAACTTAGTGAGAGAAAGAAATGGATTTCTAAGTAAAATTGCCCTAATCTGTCTCCATTAATTTGTCATTATTAGACAGCCAATATCTGATAATGTAGATGTAGTTTAGGTATTCCTAGAATAAATTCTAAACTTGAAAACTGCAAATGCTGATTGGGTTTGCATAAAACAATCACCATGCCACCAGCCATTCACCCCTTTTGAGGCATGATCCATTTTATTTCTTTACCTGTATGCACTCCTGTTCAAAAGAAATATTTCAACCCATTAGAAATCCCACCTTAAAACACAGACTTTTTTTTAAGTGGCAAAAAATCCACAGTGAGCTTAATAGGGATCGCAGCAGTGGCAGAGGAAAATGTTTCTTTCTGTGGTGTCTACAAGGATAGCATGTTTGCTAAAGCATTCTGGGACTGCAGTCATATGCACACTTTCCTCCAAGCAAGGGGACTTCAAAACAAGAGGACTCTTAGTTTTCCCAGTCAAGAGAGAGACGTTGTGCGGCTATTTCAGCTTTCTTTCCTTAACCAGTTTTCAGTAAAGGGGAACAAATAGAAGCGGCCCTGTTTCTTCCTCCCCCGCAATCATTTGCTGATTTCCTGGGTATTGTGCGGTTCCCCACCACCAACCTCCATCCTAATAGGTCGAAAAGGCTCCCCTAAGCGTTAGATACTGGCAGGTAAGAGCAAGCCGTTCTCTCTGGTAACGTGGGCTTTACCCACATTGTCTCTGGCCCCTCTATGGCATGTCCCTTCCGGGGCATCTTCAAAATGGAAATCTGGCCAAAGAAATTCTGCATTTCTAGGTTAAAGCATCTCAGACTTTTTTTTTCCTCGTGGGGGTTAAAGAAGAATGTTTAAGGGATGACATTATACAAACTAGCCCTCTAACCCCATCTCAGGGCACCAGATTGGGGATGGCTGATAGGTAACTCCCAGTTTCTAGGGAGATTCGCACTGTAAACAGGCACGGCATGAAAAGAAACTCTTCCTTCCCCATCCAGATGTGAATCCTGGTTTGTTCATTAGCGGTCTCCGTGCAAGGTGTCCGCTATAGGCCGTGGAAACATTTAGCGCCCAACTTGCCCTACTGATTTCAATTCTCGAAACCGGTCCCCGTCGCTCCGAAGCGGTCTCTAACCAGTTTCCAATTTCTCACCGGGCGTTCTTTTGTCGCCAGGGCAACCAAACTGGAGCAAACCACTTATTCCTTTGCACGTACATGAGTCTAAAGGGTAGCTTTGGCTGCTCGCTACTATTGTTGAATTTGTGTCTGAAATCATTTAGTCGCAATCCCGCTCAATGGAAAATATTAGTCACGTAATAAAAAAACGGCTCAAAATTCGTTTCACCCCCTCCCATAATGATACATCCCCATCTTCGAAGTGCGGCCATGTTTTTCGCTCCTCTCTTCAGGATAGTATGGGCTATTACCATTACACAAAGGGAGAAGGGGTGTAGTTTCTGATTTCTGATTATAGCTTCCTAAATTTTATCTAGACGCAGCCTGGCTTATTAATGGTCAGATCTGTTTAAAAACTCGCTCATGTCATCTCTGCCTACTAAATTTCTCGTATCAGCAATTTCCTCCTCGGGCATGTGGTAGAATCCTCTTGTTTTCTCCCGTAAGTGGTACTGTCTGCTGCGTCCGTTGACCCTTGCGTGGTTCGGGAACCTCAGATCACAAAGTTCCAAAGCGTCGGTAAAGGGTGGCTTGTTTAAATTGGTGTCTGTGGGGTGTAACAGGCTTTTCGAGGTGGGTTATACGAATGTTGGGTAGAATATATTTTCAGTTATGCCTTGAGATGGTGGGGACTAGCCACTTGGCGCGTTTACGAAGGTAATGAACACGGTTCTTTGGTCCTGCATAGGTCGCTGGATTCCGAATATCAGCTTCCCATAAGAATCAGGGCTGGGATTTTGCTTGATGTAGAGGTGGCTGACTGGGATGTGGCGGTTAGGAAGAAGCTAGGATTGCCACCCATCATGCTGTGAAGGATGGCTTTTTATCCTATTTCAAGTTTTTGGTAGCCTGGAAATGCAATGATTATGAGCTGCAGCTGATTCTGGCTAGACTAGATGCATCCTGGGAGTATCTCTCATATAAGGGATTTGCACAAACAATATGGTTTTACAAGAACACTTGATTTCATAACTGATCACACCCATCAGTGCTAGACAGCTGAATCTCAAGCTTGATCTATAGGAGGCAGGAGCTAAGTTCAGGCATTTGCAGTGTCCTGAGATGAAATCATCTTAGGGAAGACATTATGGACTTGATAACAGTGAGAAGATACAGGGAATGTGATATTTAATCACCCTAGGTCAGGTGTTCTCATATTTTTCCATAATTAACCCTTCCTAAATCACATGAACAAAAATAAGTTGACTAACTACCTGTCTTGGTGTTTTCCCACTTGCAAAAGATGGGGAAGGATTAATCTCATTTTAAATTTAAAATTAGCACCAGTTATCAGTTTTTCTGTCATTCTTTTTGTTCCATTCAGTTGAATGTTTGCCCTCAGCCCAAAGGTACTAGGGTAAACCATGCACATCTCAGACAGGAGAGTAATTCTAAGATCCATCAGTTCCTATGAAAATTATGCTACTATTCTGTTATGTTTTTTAAAAGTTGCATTTTCCTTAATTCAAAGAAGAATCAGTGGGAAAACATGGGAGGCATTACAAATAGATGATATGTGGAACTGTGAAAATGTGAGTGAATGAGGCATGGGGATTCCCACAATAAATGCCTAATATGGAAGCAGCCCAAAGCAAAACAAAATCTGTTTTTATTATGAATCACTTAAAATTATTTGGGAATTTTTAAGAAATAAAAAATATTTTCAATTTTAGTTGGATAAATGAAAATATTTTTCTCTTTTTCAAATCCGGGAAGGTTACAAACTTGCTTCTGAAAAATGATAGTTTTCATTCTCATAATTTGGAGGCCAGGTGGCACTGGTTTATGGGTTATGCATTGTTTAGCTCTTGCTATTGTGCTTATTACAGAGTGACAGGAACATAATCATATTTCATTTCTTTCCTCCTTATTAGGCAATTGGAACAAGGCTGACCATGCTTTTAGCGCAAGAGGTCATGCCACTGTTTGGAAACACATTTAGTCCAAAGAAAACCCCACCCAGAAAATCAGCTTCACTTTCCAATCTGCACTCAGTAAGTTCTGAAAACATACTTGTTATTGATCTGTGTTCTGAGCAGGATTCAGGGCTTACCTGAAAGTGGATGCAACTAACATGATGCTGCAAGGAAAGAAGTATAGGCAAGTGATGAGGCTGTTCTTAAAACTGCCTTGGTTGCTTTGGCCTGGTGTCCTCCATGTATGACCTGCCAGAATCTTCCTCAGGAGTGGAAGGTACATGCATGGCTCAAAATGATGAGCCTGTCTAGTGAAATCTGCAGGACAGTGAAGTGACGGTGCTCTAGGTGAGTTCAGGGTCTCTGATCACCTGGAGCACAATCAATAGGCACTTGTACTCTCTTCTGGAAAAAATCCATTTATTTGGGAAATGTAAGGGTAGGTAGGTAAATGAAACCAGTAGTTCAGATACATTTGTTGTAAACCATCCCAAGACATCTGTGAGGGGATGGTATAGAAAAGTTTGAAAGAAAGACAGACAGACAGACAGACAGACAGAAAAAGGATAGTTAGGTTTGTCCTCTGGATTAATCCTGATGTGTTTAATCCTGAGACAACCATTGAGGAGGGATGGGGAGAATGAACTGAAATATTTCAAAAATGTTGAATCAACTTTCTTCTATAGCTGGACAGATGCACCCGTGAGATTGAGCTTGGTCTAGACTATGGCACTCCTGCCATGACACTTACTGGACAGAGTCTGAAGTTTGAGAATGGCCAGTGGATAACAGGTGTGAGAGAATGCTAAACCTATTGCTACAGTGCCAACGCTGTCTTTGTTGGGCTCCCAGCAATCCTGCCTGGTGCCTCAGCTTTAGTCCAGCTGTATACCTTAAATGCTTTGATCCCCTGTGTCTATCCTGGAGTGGGACGGACCTAATTCATACAGGTTTTTTAAAATTCATTCTTTGCTACATTTTTATTCTGCTTTTCAGACAACTGTTGCCTTCCAAAGTGGTTCACATTAGTAATAAAGCATAATAAACCTGCCCTCAGGTTTCCAAACTAAAAAGATGGACACACAGAAGAAAAGGGAGAGGTGGGGAAAGGAAGAGGAGGAAAAGTAGTTTGTCAAGGCTGGAACAAGGCGGTGAGCTATAAGTGGCATACATGCCCTTTGCTTGAGCAAGACTGGTCTTCCCTTCCCGGTGTTCTTGCTTGAAGGAATGTCCTTTACCTTAGACCGATGGACAGGGCCAGAGTGGTATTTCTGCTGACTTGTGCGGTGCCAGGGCAACTGTCAGTTGGAGCTGAGTGTTCTTTCCAGCAGGGAGAGGGAAGCTTCCTGCAACTGTTCCTTCTCTGGATAATGGGTGGGTCAGGTTGTTCTCTCCTGTCATTGCTGAAAAGGAATTCTCCCCCCCCCCCCACATTCCTCCCTTGGTAGGTCTTCGCAAATCTGGGTCTGTGTGGGGGCTGGTTGTGGCCTGAGAGTCTGAACTAGCCTTATGCTCTTCTGAACCTCAGTTATATCCCACCCTACCTGGCATATCCTCTTCCTGGGAAAAGACATTTCTCAGCATCTCTTAACATGTAGAACAGTAGAATGTCAGGAGTGCTGCCTTGCTTCTGTTCAGGCCACCTGCCACAGCTTTATTTTGGGGCCATGGCAACTGACACATCCAATATAATATAAAGCTATTCTAATGGCAGCCCCTTTCCATCATCTAGATTCATTAGGGAGCAGTGGAGACCGCAGGGAGACACAGCGCCTGCGCAAACGGAATCAGCAGCTAGAAGAAGAAAACAATCTCCTTCGGCTGAAAGTGGACCTTTTGTTGGATATGGTAAGCATTGGATGACTCCCTTTTTCCTAGTGTTTTTAAGCTTTTAAGTTTTTAAGTTACAGAATGCCCTTTTTTACATAACATTCTGTTCTAACCACACATGTCATGTGCTTTGGCTCTTTTTCCGTTTTCACAACCTCAGTTGTGCCTAACTGGCATGTTGAAGGAGCTGCTAATATTTCATTTTCCCTAAAAAAATCAATTATACCCAACAAGTGTACAAATTTTAAAGAATAAATTAGCTGGAATTCTGGAAGTGCAGGTATGACGACTCGAGTGGATAATGTTGGGAGTGAGCAGAATCTGCTGTCAAAATAGAGCAGGTAACAACCATGAAATTGACTCAGAGAGGATCCAAATGACCTTGTTTTGCACTATGCTTTTTTGTGGCAACTGCCAAAAAGTGAACTGCCAATTCAAAGCGAAGACACTTTTTTGCCCATGAAAAGTAGGTCGAAGGATTTGGAAATGGGATCTTCAATCAATCAATTCTTTATTCAATCATTGACCAGCCAAGGATCTTCAAAGTTTTTTTATGTTTTTGCAATAGCGCCCTGTGTCCCCAATGTTTTCACCTCTTCCCAAGATGCTTGGTACTTGGAATGGTAGAAGAGTACAGCCCTTACTCTTACAGGAGCATGGAGGTTTGACAGTAAGCCATCAAAGTACTGTTTCTTTATAAAAAGTGTTTTTTACACCTCCCCTTTTTTTCACACAGACTTATGGTAATATGAGTGTGATGCTATTGGATGGTCTTTAAACAAATTTAAATAATAAATAAATAAATACAGTAGGTGTGAAACCTCTACATCCCAGTAAACATCATTGCATCTGAGAGTAGGTATCCCCAGAGCCTTATGTGCACACAGAAATGTACACACCTTCATCTCCAGAGTTGTGCAGTTGCAGTTAAACATTAAAAAATGAATTGAGAGTATTTGTGTACATCAGGTTGCTCTTTTTTTATGGGACAGCCCCTGCAATGTGCTGCTGGGGCACATTAAAGAGGCTGTCATGGTTGTCAAAATGGAGATCACAAAAAAGCAATTGGGGGTGGAGGAATGGTAAAAAGTTGCAGTGAGCCAAAATTGCTCCACAGCATGACAGGGTGAGGGCAGTGAGCCAGTGACAAGGTGCCCCATGATGCTACTTGAACATTGATGGGGCAGCTGGAACTGGTTGTGGCTCAGACAAGTTTTGCAAGACCAACAAGGGATTTATTTATTTAGAACTTTTATATGCAGTCCCCTCATGCTTTGGCATCTCAGGTCGGCTTACAACATAGAATTAAAACAATTTTGCTGCTCTTACCAAGTGGCTGGCTTGCTGTCATCCAAAACCCATGGCAGGAGCAGTTGCCCAGGTTCAGATGATACTTCAGTGCAATATAGGTGAAAAAAAAACTTACTATAGACCATGATTTCTCAGAGAGATACATTGGAAAAAAGATTCCCTATGGAAAGTGGTTTGAGTTTGGATGATATGACAACTAGCCATGATTGGGTTGTAGTGCAAACCAGGTTTTCAGTATAAGTGGTTTTTATAATTGCGTTACACAGTTGTACAGTCATGTTCAGAAAGTGAACCACATATAGGACAAGGTTTAAGATGATAATGGGATGGCAGTTATTGAAATCATGATGGAACTTTGTTAGGGTCTCCTGTCTCTATGTTTAGAACTTAAAGAGATAATTAATAAACCTTGAGTAAAGAAAGGGCTTTTTGGGCATAGCAGCTAAGAAAGGATTGAGTTCTATGTATTTTTAGTGTATGAGGTCCAACAGGCCTTGTTGGTGTTCTGCATTAACTGAGAAATGCACCAGAACAAAAAGCAAAATTTCCTTGGAAGATAATTCAGTGTAGAAAGGTCATTTTCAGGATATGATGCTTGCATTGTTGCTTTGGTCAGAAACAGAAACTAAATATTTCTGTACGTGTTGCCACTACTAATGTACCTCTAGAACACAGATATATTCTTTCATTGCCTATTTCTGCCTTCTGTTTGTAGCTCTCTGAGACAACTGCAGAGTCCCATCTCATGGAGAAGGAATTGGAAGAACTGAAAAATTACAGCCGAAGGAGGAAATAAACTTGGAATCAGAGCCTTTAAGAGATTGGAAAATTAAGAGCAGGAAAATCTGGCTAAAAGTAGCCCTACCCAGAAGTTATCAAGCCTTATCTGCCTTGGAAGACATCTTTAAAATCCTGGTCCCTATAGAATATGAAGCAAAGGTCCCCAGCGTGAAATATTAATTCACTCTCAAGTGCTATTTTGAAGCAGCTGTCCTATTTTTTTTTCTTTACTTGAGTTACTGTCCAAGTGCTCTTCTCTGCAAGAAGAGCACTTGGACAGCTACTGGATAGAGCATTTACTCTATCCAGTAGCTGGCAGAGTAGTTGCAGATTATGTGCATTTTTCCCATCCAAGAAAAATGCAGTAAAAAATCTAGGAAGAGGGAGAAAAGAAGGGGAGAGGGTGGAACTGCTTACAGCATACACATCTGTGCTCCTATTGGCTGTGTTTTGATAATAAAAACCTGGCTTATTAAGCCAGGATATGCAGAAGGTTTGCACTCACACAATCTCTTTGCAGCCGCTTTATTAATCCTTTTGTGCAAAGTAATCCAGGAAGCTGAACTTTGTAGCTTCTGATTACAGCCATACTGTAAACTATGTTTAATGGCTTCTGCCAAACTAGGATTAGAAGCCAGCTTTAAACTATGGTTTAAAGCAGGGTAAGCAACCCATAGCTCAGAGGCCATAGTGCTCTCCAACAGCCTTTAACAGTGTGGTCTCCCAACAACCCCTCCTCCAAAGATCCTCATGTAGAGCACTCTTTCCCCACTACTGCTGGCAGTGAGGAAAAAGTGATCTCTGTCAGGATTACTAGAGGATGGAGCAGGGTGAACACTCTCTACTCCTCCCCCAGAGGTCCTCATACAGATCAGTGGTATGTGCATCAGTCCCAACCCCCAAGCCAACATCCCATGCAGCCTTGGGATCAAGACATTTATTCACCTCTGATTTACAGTTTATAAAAGTCCATAGTCTGTGCATGACAGAGTGGTATGATTAAGTCTGGCTTCCTGGCTTTCCACATGAAGAGAGGAATTAAATGGCTGAAAGGGGGCTGCATTTCAATATATCCTGCTTGTGTTTCCTGGCTTAGCAGGCCAGGCTTGGTGGCTTACAGTAACATGCAAAGCAGCCATTATGCATCTGTCTCAACACTGATTTCAGATCTATTTTTCCATGCATTATCTCATGTATTCTTGGGATTAAGATTTTGCTTTCTGTGGAGAAATATTCTGAATTTGACTTCAGCTTGTAAAGGCACAGCAGAATTGAAAGAAACTATAGAAATCTGAGGTGGCACTGGTCTCGGGGAATGCCTCACCATCACTTCCAGAGATTGCACATTAGAGTCAGATTACTGTCTTCCTGAATATTGGCTGTGCTTACGCTACTGTTGACATAATCCAGAAACACAGATTGTATAACTTCTTTGTTTGCCCCTCCTCCCTCCTTTCTTATCTCTGTCTCTTGGATATGGACAAACTCCACGTCAAAATCTCCATTTTTATTCCTGCCCCTTTTATTCTGTTGCTTCATGATTACTATGTGCTTTTGTTGTGACAAAACCTTCTTTTCCTTTTCAGGTATTTATTATGTTAATACAGTTATTGGGTCCACTCCTAGTGCAGGTAGAATGTTGGGCTGGATTGCTCTATAAAACTGTTTTTATACTATAAAAATAAATCTATTAGAATGTTTCTATTGCCTTAGTATTGGTTTGTGTATTTCTTTTACTATCTATTCTAATAATAACTACTGCATGTGTATGTGCTGTTTTTCTAAATGTCACTCTTGGGTGCAAGAAAAGTCTGGCCATCTTCAAGATTAATTCCACAGGAAAAAGTTTGAAGCTGGCAAAACTAAGCATGAATGTCGAAACAGTGAGACTTAAGAAAGGTAGACAATAAAACTGAGTCTTTTTATATTTTATTAGAATAATAGTTATACACTAGTAAGTACAGTTCAAAGTTAATATTTGATTTGAGGAAGATTTACAAATTCAGTAATGACTGAAATTTAGATTTTTAAGGGAAGTATGTAGTTCAAAACACCTGGAGGTTACTCAAATCAAGTTCAAGTTCTCCTTTCTTCATCTTTTGGCCTTGGGCAAATCACCACTTTTCAGCTTCAGTTTCCCATTTGTAAATTTGTGAGGGTGAGCCCAGCAACACAAATTTATAAAT